CCGGGAAAAAAGAAAAAAAAAACATTTTTTTTTCTTTTTCTAAAACCAAAAGCTTTTTTTTCAAAAAAAAAAAAAAAAAAAAAAAAAATATATATATATATATATATATATATATATATATATATAAATTTTGTAGGCAGAATTATTTAAATTTCTCTTCAACACTCGAGTAAAAACTAGCTTTAAAAACTGGAGAAATATTACCATAAATATGTTTTCAACATTGTTGCTCAACTGAAGTTAAAGCTTTATTTAGTCAGGAGATGGCAGCATTGGCAAGACAAATATTTCCTGCTCCAACAATCAGTTTACGTTGTGAATTCAGCTATTTGATTTAAGCGTTTGAGAAGAACGGAAGGATCTCAAAGTTGCAGGGTTGTGGCGGATAAAATGATCCTTACCATATCTATTCTTAGTCTAGAAGACGTAGCATTGATTTAATAAATTACTAAATGTTGCCTACTGAAATGAATTATAGATATTCTGCTACATAATACATTCTGGTACATAATACAAAAAAGAGTGAAATAGTAAAACAACTGAAAAGCGACAAATAAAAATCAGTTTAAAAAAAACAGAGAAGCTAAATTTTTACCCTGTCAGAGATTTTCACATTACACTGAGAATCAGATGAATTGGGAGAAGGACAGTTTTGTTTGGCTCCATGAGGGGAGTTAACACCTCCGAGATCCCTAAAAGAACGGAGAGATAAATTCAGGAGGCGGACGACATCTTTCTTTCTCCGTGTAAGCTTTTAGGAGAAGCTCACCTGTACGTCATTAGGCCCGATCCTCTTAAGTGAGCAGAGGCAGTGGGGTCTTGGTTCAGGTGCCTCCGTAAGGCAATCTTGGCAGGTGAGAAGCGAGTGTAGTCAGGCTGGGAGGAGCTCTGCTGCCTCTGTCGCGCCTCGGAGGCGGCGGCCACCCCGTCGTGGTCCGGAGAGATGGGAAGGTAGCGAGAAAGCTCTGCTTTTGCGTTAGCCCGGTCGAAGCATGGCGAGCCCGTCCCGTTGACCGAAAGCTCCGGGCTGATGCCGTTCAGTGCTGGGGCCGACGACAGGCCGAGCCTAGAAGAGTCCATGTCGGTGGAGCCTCGTGACTCCAGACTCTTCCTGTAGGGGGAGCCATCACGAGGGCTGTAGGATTTGAGCTGCAGCAGCTCCTGTTGCCTTTGACTCTTTTCCAGCTCAACGATGCTAATCTGGAAACAAACAGCAGGGGGAACCATTAGGAAGGACAAAATGCATTCATCAACAGCCACACACTCAGGAATTACAGTTTAGGTAAAAAATAAAATAAGAAGAGTCATGCAGTGACTTTAAATTAAAACAGAAGCTGAAGAATATTAAACGTTATCCTGCAATCACCATTCTATTGAGTACAAATAGAGGATGAGTAAACATTGCTATTTAAAGTGTTTAAAGTACTTGCTCATCTGAAATTTATTGTAAATTTAAATGCTTCTAGGAAATTTATTAAGGGTTTAGCAACAAATGTCAGGTTTTAATGTGTAGTCTATTTAATATCTTAGCAGTGCACAGAGCAGTGGTTGCTTTAGAACCCCATGTGCTTTTCCCAATCAAATACAAATGAATGCATAAATGAATAAATGAGATTTTCTGTCCAAACAGGCAAATGAGGTTGAAATGTAAAAGATGAAAACAATAACACTGTTTACTGAGGTTTACTGAGGTACAAAAGCTGTCAGTCTAACCAAGTCTGACTTTCAACATCTTTGTTTATGTTGTGTTCAAACATAACACACAGCTTTAAAAAGTTATTTTTCTGGACTAAAAACGCAGAATGACAGGGGGGCTTGGGAAGGACGGTGAAGCAGGGAGTCATTCTATCGGCTGCAAACAAAGTCCAAATATTGAGGCGTGGCGTTTACCTGCAACTCCAAGCAGTGCTTCTGTTTCTCAGAAATCTGTCTGCGCAGCGCCTGCTTCTCCTTCAACAAACTCTCCAAACACAGAGATCCCCAATCTAGCTTCAGCTCCTCGCATCGAGACTTGAGCTACAAGTAACAAGCACAGCAGAGTTTTCCTCTGATATATTGGGAGCCAGCACCTGTAACTTAATGGAGGTTAAAGCAAGGCTAACAGGCTCTGGGGTCTCACCAGAAGCAGACTGTGGTCCCTCAGGAAAGCCATTTCTCTTTCGAGCTGCTTGGTTTGCTCTTTTAGCTGACAGTTGTGAGCTGATATCTCCTTCTGAGCCTGGATGAGGTCCTCCACAGTCAGAGCTTTGACTCCAAGCTGTTCACAAACAGATTTAGGAATAAAAATATAATTCATACTGCATTAGTTTCAAACACAAGTCTTCCTCCTGAAGCAGCTGGAGCAAAGAGGGGTATTCCTTCTAGGTATTCTAGGATTCAGAGTGTTTCAGTCCATTAGTCCAAACACCCTTAAATGTGAATTCTCCATTGTCTTTCTCACCATAACTTAGGGCTGCAATTAAGGATTATTCAGCAAATGGCTTTTTATCTTCCGAGTCTGTATACTCCACTTAACCATTAATGGGTTACTAAATTAGCTGACCATAATTTCAATAATTGATTAATCATGATTAGTCGTTTCAGCCCTACTGTTAATGAAAGTAATTTGCTTAATAATGAAGCTCAGCAAAATAATCATCAAACCAAGGTCTCCCAAAGGGCTTAAAGGAATTTTGCTTTTTAGGCGAGTTAAAGGCGTCGCTAAAGACATGTCATAGATAAAACAATGTAATACATCTTTGTTTGGAACATTACCAAGTAGAAAGTACAGGAAAGGAAGTAAAAATAGATCACTACTCAAAATATTCTGAGTTCGGATGTGCCCATACCTCGTCTAGTTTGGTTTGGAAGAGTCCTTTAATCTTGTCCTTATGAGACTGACACACCAAATGGAGCTGCTCTGCCTGTCCTGACAAATCCCTGTGTTTTTCCTGGGAAAAGAGTGGAAGACGGAAACAAGCCTGAGGTCAAGTGGAATATCAACCTTTACACCAAAGTTAATGAGTCGAGGGAGATTCTTGTTGCCGGTGATGAAAACATGCAGAATGGCTCCGAGCGTGACCAGTTACCTTCTCCTGCTCCAAAAGCTGCTGCAGATTGGAGCGGTACTGAGGAGTCTTCATGTGAGCCATAAATTGGAGGTACTGGACTTTGATGTTATCTGGAAACCACACGAGTTCAGAAAAAAATGTTTGCAATTTGGTTCAGGAAATTCACTCTCGTTGGACAGTTATTCGCTATTGTTTCGAACGAACATTTTATATAAAAGTATATGAAGAGAAACCATCTAAAAAAAAAACAACAGCATGGGAATAAAAGTGACCAGTATATTAAAAAAAAGGTCAGAATAAACTTTTTCAAATCATAATCCGTCTGCTTAATAGCTTACCAAGTAGTTGTTGCAGACCCGGAGGAGTTGGGCTCATCAGCAGCTGACTGGGATTATAGTGCTGGACCTTGGGAGGTAGCTGGTAGAAGGAAGTCTGAGGTGGCCGGTATGCATCTATACACAAAAACATTTGCAATTGAGCCTAATATTTATTGTTATTACAACTTTCATTAGTTAGTTTGTTGTTTTTTTTTTTTTTTCTTGTTTTTTTGCTAAGGCAATATGCATGGTGTGTTAAAGATGTGTGAGCCCACTGACCCTGAGGTGGTGCTGCAGAAAGGGTCTTAGCATGCAGCAGATCTAATGCGCTCTGATTCTTCTTGTTCTTCTCAGCAGCAGGGGTGGCTTTCTTGGGCCGACCGCGTTTCTTGTTGTTTAGCTTGCGACCTTTGGCCAGCAGCCGAGTTCTTCGGGGTTTGGGAGGGGGCTTGACCACGGTCACCAGGCTAGGACGCTCCTCCTCACCACCGGAGTCCTGCTGCTGCTGCTGCTGGACGCAGACCGAGATTTATGTGAGTTCTCCAATACACATTCGTGATTTACACACAAAGTGTTTAGAGACACTCAACAAATTCGGAGATTAAACCATTAATGCAAACGTTTGACCATTTTTCCAGGATCTCTCTCATGCGTGAGGTCAAACGCCGATGTTAGACAAGAAGGCTTGGCTTGCAGACTCTGATCTTATTCATCCCAAAGGGGTTTAACATTTTCCTGGCAACTACCAAACCCAGACTTGTCCAATAGGCTGCCACAGAGGTATGACAGGCATAATAAAAATGGGTGCTGGTCTTACCTTGTTTTGCTCCTTAGTTTTTGTGGGGGTGGTGTTATTGCTTTTGCTGTCCTTTGTGTCTTTTTGTTGACGTCGTCTAGCTGCCTCTTGCTCCTCCTAACAGAAAGTAAAAACAATTTATTGTTTGATAAAAAACAAATAATAATAAAATACAGAAACAACTCAACTATTCTGATGCAACTCACCCTGAGTTTAGGATTCTTTAGACTGGCAAAATAGTTTTCAAGCTGAAACACAAGGAAAATATAGATATTAGATAAATATGTTGTCACTACATATACAGGTATTAATTTCATGCAATATTGGTTTTTCTATTCAATTCAATTTAATTTATTTATACAGCGCCAATTCATAACACAGTCCTTTCAGTTCAATCCTCCATACATTTCAATTAGTCTATCTCAAATATTTCATTATTTGAATACATTTTAAAAAGTTTTCTGTCTAAAGAAACCAAGCAGATTGCATCGAGTCATTGACTTGCAGCATTCACTCCTCTCGGGCGAGCGCATAGCGACAGTAGGCAAGCGCTTGATTTGTGTCGTTGACTTTACAGCAATCCCTCATACTGAGCATGCATTTAGCGACTGTGGAGAGGAAAAACTCCCCTTTAACGGGGAGAAACCTCTAGCAGAACCCGGCTCAGTACGAGCGGCCATCTGCCATGGCCGACTGGGGGGTTTGAGAGGACAGAGCAGATACAACTCAAAAAAAAAGACAGAAGCACTGATCCAGGAGTACATTCTATGTTGATGAAAAGTAAACAGTTAATTGGAGAAGAACGTTTAGTTGTTGGCAGCATTATCTCAGCTGATGCTCTCCTCCAGGAAGGTACCGCAGCCAAACAGAGGGCCGGAGCAGATGTAGCTTCTATCAAGAGAAAAAAAAAAACTGAGAGAAAAATCAAGTTAAACAGTTGAAATAACAGCAAATAATGCAAACAAGTAAGAGAGTACTTGTTTGCAAAAGGAAAAGTGGTTAGTTTGTCCTTCAGCTCCCTAAACCTATAGCAGCATAGCTACAGAAATAGCTCAGGATAACCTAATGAGGCATGAAAGACGCAGGGAGAACCGTCTTTACAGAATGTATTCCTCTTTGCCGGATCGGGGGTGTGGGGGCAATGTGGTCTATCAGTGTTTCTATTAGCCTTAAAAAAAAAGTTAACAATTATGTCACAATTTGAAGCCAAGACACAGTCACAATGGGATTTATGAGCTAATAAAAATAAAATGCCACTAACAACAGCTTTTTCCTCCTCCTACTAGGCTTTTACAAGTTGCTGAAATGGCAAACAGACGACTTTCTAATCAGCAATAATCTGCGAAAACCATTATGTCCTTCATTCTCAGGACCGGTGACTGAATAAAACACAAGGCGGCTCTGTGTTGGGCTCAGTCCATTCGTTGGCTCTAATGTATTACACTCTACTCCAATATTCAGTGTTCAATGTCTACTTTTCTGTAATTAAAGAGAAGAGATAGCATTAGGTGCTTACTATAGTGCGGTCTATGGTATGAAGGTAGTAGGAAACGGGCTTTCCAGTCCACGACACCGAGCCCCTCAATGGAGAGAGTTCCACCACGCGCATTATCGTGCCAATATCTGCAACACAGAAGCAACACATGTAACCGAAAACAGTAATTAAGAGCAAGAAATTAAGTGTTAAATGCAGAAATCTTACCGCTCAAGTTTCGACTGTTGATTCGAAAGTTTAAAGGTGCAAAGGGTTTGGAGGACACAATTTTGCCTCCTGGAAAGAAAGGAGGGGGAAAAAAATACAACTATAATTATTGTATTTACAATGAATTGCTTTGGTAATCTAAACAGATTCAGCTGAGTCGTAGAGTTGCAAAAGCAGTGGAACATTCAGACTATTTTGTATATTTAAGTAAATCATAAGCCCAAAATCAAATATGTGGCTGCTATATTGTTTGCTGAGGGGAACGTTATCACTCTTCTCTAGAGATCTGCTCTCCCAGTTTACGGCTATGCTTGGACATAAAAACATCTATGACTGTAATTTATTCATGAAAATAACAATATCATATAGATATGTAATATCTATATATATATATATATAACTTATAGATATTACATTCATGCATTTCAGTGGCCATAGAATATTCATTTCTCACGTTTATGTATCGTTGTGAAGTCCATAAAGTGTTTACTGATACAAAAATCAGTTGAATATCTTCTATCTAATTGAAGGAAGTCAGCCCAGATTTTTTTTTTTTTTTTTTTAAATCAACAGCTCCCACTGGAGCAGCATCACGCAGGGCACGGACTTCAAAACCACTTGTTGTAAAATAAATGAACTTACCCTTCTTCAAATCGTTCTAATCTGCTGTCAAAATCCTTTTTTACCACAAGAACCAAAATGTTGGAGATCTGATCCACCAGAATCTCTCACTTTGTCTTTTCTCTTGTTCGCCAGCATTTTTAGCAAAAGTCTCTAATATTTACTGAACAACTAAAAAAACAGACCTCTTCGGCTGTGACTACATCTTAGCGTCTCTGAAAACTGACAGGTCTGATACTTTCATGACTCGATCGCAAATGTAGTGGCTATCGATGAAGCGAAATCAGGCTGTCTTCATCTGCCTGTAACGTCCCGCTCTGAGCTAAGTAATATCTTCTTCAGTACTTTAAGTACGATAGCACGGATTTTCACGAAATAAATGTTGAGAAAAAGTTGATTTTGGAAGCCCTGGCTCATCATTATCCGCAAAGGGTTCATTGAGAACTTACCTTCCTTCATGTTTGCAAAACGCTCCTTCAGCTGGTGATCTACTTCTGGACCAAAGGCAAAGTTATTCACAAAAATAATACTGGAAAACAGACAGAGAAGTACATATTTTAGAATTTTGGTCCACACAAAAAAAAGTTACATCAATCATTCATGAAACAGATTTTAGAAAATAACAGAGCATCATTTTGTACACAGATGAGAGTGACTAAAAAAAACTGTTGATTTCCAAAGATTAATAGACACTGCTAAATCCAGCTAACTGTCACAGCGGTAAAGGGATCTAAATAATCACAAATGAAGAGAAGAAGATGAAGAAAAAACAAGCTTGCATGTTATTACAAAAATCTACAACTGTCTCAAATATAAATCATGATCACTCCAGATTATCTACATGTATATAAACAAAAATTATTAACAAGATTTAACTGCATAAAGTACAAATAAATATAATGAACTGAATCTGAACACTAACCCTAACTTTTCCAAAAGAATGAGTTAGACTTCCTTGTAAAGTGAAAAGGAGTCTCCTTCTGCTGAATTATTAATATTTTTATTGAAGTGTCTGTGAGCAACCCTTTATGGAGCTTTACCTTGTGGTGGCTATCCTTTCTTTCCACTCTTCAGATAGAAAATCGCCTCTCTCCAGCTGAAAAAACACAATATATAAAAAACCTGAATACATATTGGAAATAAAAAAAAGATAAATAAATAAATAAAAATCTGTGATGTAAAACAAATAGCATAGGACTCACTGTGTACTCCCCATGCTTCTTCCCATACCATCTCATCCACTTTTTAAACTCTTTATCCATGGTCTGAAAAAAAAGAAAAAAAGAAACAATCTCCAAATCATTAAAATAATAGATTACAGACAGAAAACAAGATTATTTTATTAATATTCTGTGAACTAAATTCAGTGAAATTGCTATTAAAAAGATGCTGGTCATTGAACAACTTTTACAACAATCAGGAGGTGACTCTCTCCATAAACACTTTGCTTTGGCCGCAGTCAAGAAAAGAAAAACCTTCCATAAAAGAGGTAAACCAAACATGGTCATTGCTAAAGAAACTGCCAAGTGCTGACTCAGAGGCCCATCACTGTGTCACTGTAATTGTCTCATCTAGTCTTTTAATAGCACAAATCACTATTTTTCCAGAGACTTGCTGTAAACAGTCACCCTAATGTCACTATTTTAAATTATTAACAGCTTAAACAACAATAGTGTTTGTAAAAGCTTCACAACACCAATCAACTGATGTCTCATCTGCACCAGAAAACCAGGTCTTATGCAAACAGTTTATAGCGAGACTTATTAACACCACTTGTTGATGAGAAAAAACAAACAGAGTTCAAGAACCTATTTGGAAATGACCTTTATAGACTGAGTGGATAGTATCGACTGCGAGCGCAGCTCTTTGTGGCGCACTGACCTACTTAAAATCCATGATGGGTGACGTCGAAATAAGCTGCAGGAAGAGAGGGGATGGTGGTATTGTGTTATTCTGACACTAATCCAAATTGTTCTTCTTGTTAAAGCACAATGTATTTTCTTTTCTCTTAAATTAGACAAAACAGATTTTAAACATGACTCTCAGAATTTTTATTAGCTGCTTGTCTTCATAAACCTTCCACTGGCTCTTGACAAAACTGGTTCAGAGTAGGGAATATTGAAACAATTTGTTGACGTGTGCTGGAGCCAGAGTTTGAGGTGGACTGTTGTTCCACAAATCCTCTTCAGTCGAAAGCAAATTTAGACATTTTTTAATTTTTTTATTTGGAAATCACAGCCTCCGAGTCTGGAGGAAGAGCAGAGGCACAGAGTGCAAGTTGCTTGAGGTCCAACGTGACATTTCTGGTCAGTGATAACAGGGGGAGCCATTTTATCTGGTGAGCTCTTTAAGCCCAAAGTTAGAGCAACGGTCTACCAGGAAGTTTCAGAACATTTCATGGTTCAACGCCATGCAGCAGCACTGAGGCAGGAATTCATGGAAAAGAAATCTGGGTGTCCTGCAGGAAAAATCTAGATCTTATTGATTTGCTGCAATATTCAAATTATCTGAGTGAACTTTGAGTTTTCATTAGCTGCAGGAAATAATCTTGGAAATGAAATTAACTTTATGACAGGAGTTTAACTTTTTGAATGTAATTTCTTAAATTAACTTATTCAAAACAGTAATCTTCTTTCCCCCCCCTAATTGAAAAGTTATTTGAACAGAGTGCTAATTACACAGTTACCTCTGCATAGCTAGATGGAATGTCTGCTTTCTCTACTCCGTAGTAGTGTTTACAGTTTGTTGCTGCTGCAACCTGCAGCACCACCTGCCCCACTCCTGTAAACAAAACGATTCAATGCTTTATCAAATGTTCTAAAAGTTTAAAAATCAGTGCACTCGTTAGGAATGAAACATTAATCTAAAGAGGGAAAACCAACCACTGCCAAGGTCAACGAATGTGTCTTCTTCCATCATTTCCATCTCATCGATGATCTGAGCCACCAGGTCGAAGGAGGTCTCTCCGTACACCTCAGGGGAGAAGGGTTCGTAGTTGTTCAGCTTCTCGGGGTCGGTCACTGAGTGGTTGTACACCTGCTGTAGGATATGTCTCAGCAGCCCGTTGGAAGGACGCTTGTTTAGCTTCATGGGCTGAGTAGTCCCCTTCCACTGCAACCAGATTTTGTTTTTTATCAATTAATTTGCCACACATCAGACTGAAGAACATTTCACTGCCTAAAAATACGACACGTGTTGAAACTATATGAACAAAACTAAAGACAAAATGACAAAAAACACTAAAGAGTCCTTGCTTTGATATTTTGTTTGAAGTCTTGAAACCCGAATATTAACGGGGGGAGGGGGAATTTATCAGATAACACTCAGGTATAGCTGAGATTGAAAGAAGTCATCACACACAGACACGATATTCCCCACCTGCTTGTGACTAATACTTTCACTCCACCTACAGAGTAGTGAGAAAGTTCCCACATGTAGACTCACCAGCTGGTGGATGCTGTCAATGGCCCTGTTGTACTTGTCACAAAGTCTCTGCATGCTCTCAAAGCTGCAAGAAAGGCAACATGGATCGCATGGTCATCATATGGCGGCGGGATTACGAAGTTCATCTCAGCTTCTCTTCTCTGTAGTTAGCACGACTATTTGGTATTTAATGCTTATATCAAGGGTTTGGTTTATGTCACATCAATGTCAATTTTGAAAGTGACGCAACCCAAGACTTACCTCTTGGTGTCATAATCGATGAGAACATAATTTTCCATTGCAAGTTTGAGGTCAGGGATTTCCTCACACACCCACCTAGAAAAGAAAAAAAAAAAAAAACACCCACCCACACACACACACACACACACACCCACACACAAGATTATCACTAAATTGATCGTGACACTTGAGTTGATCGGGAGAACGTGGGTGTGTTCAGTGAGTGGGTGGGGGGACTGCTGGTGATGTCACTTACCGAATGGTCTCGATGATTTCGTGAGCAGCATCGTGGTGTTTATCCTGAAAGACAGAGGCGACGAGGCATAATGAAACCCCGAACATGACACCATTTGAGATATTGAATTTAATTGGATCACAAATTACCAATGTTGAAATGAGCAGAAAATAATTAAAAGTTCGAGAAAACAGCAGTCCAAACAAAAATAAGGGTATTAATTATACAAAACATGGGATGTTGATTATGGTATTTTGCAACTAGAGTGAAATGCCCACAACATCTATTATGTCTGATTCATCCTCTCGTTACAGAAACTCAAAGCAGAAAACACAGCCACTTCAGACATAACGAAAAAGTTACTAAGGACAGACTTGACTTCTCAGGAACGTTTTGTTTTACCCAAATCGAGGTTCTGAGTTATAAACGCTGCGTGACCGCACAAAACAAAACTTAAAGCTGCATAAACAATGTCTCAGAAAACCAAAGCTGAGCATTTTCCAGACTCAATATCAGCGAAGTGTTGAGTCAAAGGAAGAACAAAAGCTGAAAAACCTTGAAAAAAATAAAAAAATAAGAAAAGAAAAGAAAATGAAAGGCACGTTAGCCATTCATTTAGGTTACCATATAAATGAGGACAGAAAGGGATGCAAAGTTACCGTTTTGACCAACCAAAGAGTCCAAATCTGTCTGAAACACCAGATCACCAGAACCAGATAGGCAAAGTTTCCTCTCTTTCCAAACCTTTCCATCTCTTTTCTTTCCTTACTATTAGACAATGTCCCCACCAGACCCTGTGAGTTTTGGCATCTCGCCCACTAAAAATATATATCAGAAGTGGGCATTAAAGGCAACTTGAGTGCATCCAGATGGCCAAATATATTATCAGTATGCACCGCAGCATCTGAAAACCTGCCAAATATCACATCCAAGGGATAGAAATGTTGCACAGATGGATGTTGCAGAGACGACTTCATTCAGGATATTATACAGCATTATCCAGCACATACACACACACTGAACTGCCTCACGCAGTGGAGAGAGGTGTTAACACACACATCTCGTATTTAAATGGAGCAGAGTTGTTTCAACACAGTGGGGCCCGCAGAACATTTCATACGTTTATTTATTTATTGGGTTCTACATTTATGTCTTGATTGAAGGAGGTGACTGTATAATTTATATAACCTGGAACCACAACGCTCATTGACATAACTGAACTGAAGGCTGGCTTCACAGTTTAATTAGAAATGTTGGTTATTGATTGATAAGACTAAAGTTGATTGATAATATCAATCGACTAGTGGACATTTTCTCTCATATCAAGGGGGTCTCTCTTTAACATAAAGGTCTAATTTTTTTTTTATAATATGCTAAATACAAACAAAGAAGCACATTATATTTTAGGAATTTTTTGTGACAGCACAGCTAAATGAGAGCCATTAAGGTGATGACAAGAATTAAGGATCTTGTTGAGCGTTTACATTTCAAACCAGAACTTCATGAAGTGCATTTTCCACCCCACGCTGCACTCTGTTTGGACCACTTCACTTTCCTGCTCTGGGATGCCTCCGCCATAATTATTTCCCTTCTAACTATCAACTGGTTCCACTTAAGAAACACCAGCAGCGCCCTCTTCTGGATAGTGGCCACACTACAACACTAAAGGAAGTACTGTGTAAACGGAAGTTATTCCTCTAACTGAACTCATTTTGATCTAACTAGCCAATATTTGACAATCAATTGCATTTGTTTGCATCCCTAGTTTAAATACAGAATTTTAATGTTTATATATATATCAGTTACTGGGACAGCAGTGTTTTCTTTAGATGTTGCAAGAGGCCTTTTAGGTCCCCGCCCAAAACCAGATGGGCCAGAAGCCAACTGTAAGGAAGCATCAACAGACACACAGATGAGGATGTATAGGAGGAAAAATCAGGATGAAACCAGATGAACCAGATCAATCATTTAATTAAGACTTTTTTACATGGGCTTGGTTCTAACACCACCTCTTATTCTCCAACATTCAGAGCAAGCAGCACGCATATCAAAACACAGTCAGCAATGTGTTCATGCTCTGTGGGTGAGATAACGAATCTCAACTACTGTGGGTGGAACATGTTTTTAAAGAGACGGTTCTGTAGTTAGCTGCAACAAAATCAAGACGAAAACCTCACCAGGAAATTTGATTGGAACAAACACTTTAATACAGATATTGATGCAACAAGCCTTTTTGTTCTAGGAATACAGCAGAGCGGGTGCAGTTGCACATCTTCCTCCCCGCAGTCCTGGCCATATGGACAAGTGAGGAGGGAGAGAGAGGGGAGAGGAAGTGTTTCCCTTTGAAAACAGGAGGAGAGCACCGTATGGCTTCAGAACTCCACATGAATCAGCTGCTTCTAATTCAACTCATGACAACAAGTCCCGATATAAAACAGACCAGGAGTATATTGAATTCCTGACATTCTCGGCTCCACGAGACACGAGAGCGTGCATGCAGTTTAACGTGGAGGCGGAAAATGCGAGTGACTCAGTAACCCAAGAAAACTCATTTGGTGCATATTTTGATAACGAAATAAACGGACTGACTGAGGAAACTGAAAGAACCAGATTGACGAGGTAGACTACAGTGTGGGCGGAGAGAAAGGAACTACAAAGAGACCCCACTCAGGCATTCGGAGAAGTTCAGCGCTTTCAGTCAACACAGAGCGTCTCACCATAGTTACTATAAATGTGCACTTACACCACTAAAAAACACCACAAAACTGTTCCCAGCTTTGCTTTCCGTTTCTACTGAATGAGCGAATTGCTCCAGCTTCTGACATGCAGACAGCTACTTAGAAATACTACAGAGAGAAAAAAACAACAATTCTCTTTCACGGCAAAAATGAATAGCAAATGGAAACGGACTGGTTAGAAATCAACAGATCGCAAAGAACATGGAATAAAACACAAAAGGGAGCCGTTTCTTATCATGAGCTCTAAAAGCTGAAAACAGTCTTAGCTAGTCTCCACAGTCACATGTTGCAACTAATTTTAAAATTCACAACCTATTTTGTAGTTCATGATACTGAGTGTACAATGCTTTTGTTAGTCTAATAATTGCAAGTGTATTGGCAGATACTTGCAGCTCTTAGTGTGTGTTTACACTAAATCTGATCTGATTTTCTTTATGTTTTTTTTTCTGTACATGATTACCCTGAAACACATGGAAATGTGTTAATAATTACTAAAAAGACTTGAATTACTCAAACAAGCTTTATTATGAAGTGAAACATAACTGGACAGTGAAACATAAAAAAATGAAAGAGAGTAACATCACAGCTTAAATATACCATGAGTACATTTATCCACGGGTTTTGGTTTTAAACGATTCATATATGTATAAGCAAGCATTGGAAAAAATAAAATGCATACACTGAGAGTGCATCTCTCTATAACCAAGGAATGGATACAGAGTAAATTAATTGAGGCAAATGCAAACCTTATTTGTACAAGCACTGTCCAAATTAATGTGTCTATTTCTTTGTGGTACTTTTAGGAAGTGAAAGAGCCAGTTACTGAGATTAAAAACTTTTTGTAAAAATTGTTGACCAAAAACATTTTTACACCTGGAAGGGGAAAGATAAAAGATACCAACTGTACAACATTTTCTAGCTTTTTTTTTTTTTTTATAGCCGCTGATTAAAAACCAAATTCCACTGCTTCGGTGTAATAAACAAACAATTAAGTTTAGATTCGTCAGACACAGTCTGTGCACCGTTTCGGTCAGTTGTGCTTTAACAAGCAGAGATGATATTCAAATTGCAATTCGAAACAATTCATTTCAGCAGAAAGCAACTTACTTTGCTGTTTCATTCGATCCAGAGTTACAAAACCAAGTAATCGACTCAAACTGATGACGACTATGGTTAACAGATGAGTTCCAGTCAAGCACAATACATTTTTATTCAAAATATGATTTATTTGAATCTTTGCAAAGTGTTGCTTTTACCATCGCCAATTGTGCTACTTTGGTGGTGCAATGTGGCAGCTTAACTCATAGGAGAGATGATGACTCAAGCTTGAGACTTTGAGTTGAGTCACAAAAATAAGAGAGTTCAGACACACCTTAGATCTGTGACCTATAGACCGTGGACTCCAGGTAAAAGACTCTAGTCTTTGTAACAGAGTCTATCTCATGTGATGAAGAGTGAAAGGAAGCAATAGACAGCATAGTGAAAGGATGTCCTTCATCTTATTTTTAGAGCAGTGTTTGTGCTTGACAGACTCTACAGTCTACAGCGTTAGATCCATAGCCAAAAAGACTTTTTCAGACTGTTTTTTTTTTTTTGTCACCTGTCATCTTTGCTATGAATACTTGAAGATATAAACTTTAAATTTTACAGCAATATCACTCATCCACAACTCTAAACTTTTATCAAAATCAAGTTATGGCTTTGACAGACACAGTTTCAGTCATGTTTCTGATTTCCAATCCATCTTTTTTGCTTCATCCAACTTTCTACGCAGAACATGGTGCCTCTCTTAAACTTAAAAGTGCAACTTTAATCAAAAATTGGTGTCATCTTCTAACACTGTGTGCGTACTTCTCTCTCTTAAAAAGGATTGACCCATAGCACAGTTGAGTGGGTGGATGCCCCTTTGAGTGTATGCTCTCAAAGCTCTCCAGCTTTCAACCTAATTTTTAGATGCACTTCAAAGAAAATAGTTCCAAAAGAGGCAAAAAGAAAAGTGCACTCTTTTTTTTGTTCCACCCAGCAAAATCTAAAGTTAGAAATACTAGCAGCGTCTGAGCTTTTCTGTAGGAGGAACAGAGCTCGGGTTTCATCCAGAGTGCAGTCAGGCTGAGCCCGTCGCTTGTGCTGACCCACTGACCCACTTTCTGTCTCCTGTTCCAGAACACTGCCAAGGGGAGCAAGAAAAGACGGAGAGGACGAAATAAGAATACAAGAAAAGGTTAAAGAAAAGAGGCGCAATGTTCATAAAAACTACAAACTGTCGGGACCGGAGAGCCACAGAGAGGATGGGAAACGGGACAGTTTTGAGGCCAGGCACAGCAGCTACAGCTAAGCGCTAACGGCTCGGAGTTCCCAGCTTCCCGCTCAATACTGCCCGCCTCTACTACGCAAAACGTCCGCCAAACATAAAACCTGCATGCACACACAAACTTTTATACAGCTACTAACGACATCTACACACCAGATGTACTATATGCATCGTACCGCATGTGACATTTACACTTACGGCATCAAGCCAGGCGGCTAAAAAGCAGCATGAACTAAAGGCTTTCTTGAGAAAAATTTTAATTTGTACAGTAGATATAAACCCTCGAGTTCAGAAGCTGTAAGCGGTATGCAAAGGCATGAAAATGACTGTGTGCAGCAGAAAGAGAAGCAGTAGGGGGAGGTCACCTGCTAAAACGAAGACAGCACACAGCAACACCAGCAGCGGGCTGCTGCTAAAAATAAACACTGTCTGACAAGCCAGAGACAAAAAGACCAGAAGACCCTCCCCTCTCCCTCCCAGCTGTGGCGCTGACTGATGCATGTTCTACTCCGCCTGTGCACGCAACGCAGAGCAAACTCTTCAGTCAATCTCCTGTCAAATCAGAGTGACGCACGGTGGGCACAGGGGCTTCATGCCGCACACTGTTTTCCTCTGTTACTCATGCGGCCCACAAGAACAAATGACTGAAGCGGGCTTACGCCCGACCACTACTCTGACTCAAAACAACCAAACAGTAGCGTGAATTTGCACAAACTAAGCTAAAGAGCTCTCCTCGCCACCTCTTCAGAGATGAGCGACGTGCCTACAAAGACGAGGAAGTCAACTGACCTCGAACGGGTAGTTTCACTTCGATCAATATAGAATTAAAAGTATGTAAAAAAAAAAAAAAAGCTGCATAAATATTTCAGTGAGAGTGAGTGGCCAACGAACAATGTAGCGTGTGTTTAACAGCACTGAGACACCAGTGTCTCTTTTAGATGTCGTTTGAGGCCTCCTACTGCCTCCACCCAAAACCAGATGGAAACAGGAGCTGCAACACTTCGGAGGAGGTGGACTTCATATGGAAGCGTTTACAAATGCACACATGGTGTGGAGATGGGAGCGAACACAAAAACAAGGGTTAAACTGGACAAACATATCTGGACTTGGTCCTACCCATGCGCCGTGTTCTCCATCAATCGGAGCAAGAACATTAAAAGCCAGTCAGCAATGTGTTTGTTTTAGTCACTGTGAGACAGTGACTAGTCTTAAATTAAGTGGGTGTGAAACATGTTTTTACTAAAGACGCTCTTTAGTTAACAGCAATAAATTTAACCAAAGAAAACCTAACAAGTAAGTTTGATTGGAACAAACACTACAGAACAAATATTGGAACAAGGCTTTGCTTTCTAATAATATAGCACAGACCTGACCATATGGACAAGTCAGGAGGGCGAAGAGAGAGAGAGTGAGGGAGTGCTTTCCTCTAAAAACAGGAGGCGATCGCCTTATGAATCAACTCCATGTTCAAGAATCCCATAATGAAAACAAAAAAAAACAAAAAAAATCAGCTGTTCCTAATTTTAATCCATGGCAACTAGTCTCCATGTAAACAGCTATCACGCAGATTGGAAAAGACATTACATTCCTGACATTCCTGGATTTTGAGTTCATCCTTAAAACACGGGACTGTGCAAGTTGACTAAAAGTGGAGGCAGCAAACACTAATGACTCAGTAAAAAAGTATATATATATATTCTGATCACGAAATAAACGGACCGACTGTCGAAACTGAAAGAACCTGATTGACTAGATAGACTACGCTGTGGGTGGAGAGAGATAAACTACAAAGAGACCCTATCAAGGCATTCAGAGAAACTCAGCGCTGGCTGTCTCATCATACTTACTATAAATCTGAACTTGAGCCACTAAAAACACAACTGTTGCCAGCTTCTTTTCCGCTTCTGTTGAAAGAGTGAGCTGCTACCAGCTCCTGATATGCAGACACCTACATGGAAGCCCAGCTGAGATGAAAAACTGCTTTTCTCTAGCATAACGAGCACTGCATGAGAAAAGCTAGACAAGACATCAACTGTTCACCGAGTTTAAAATATAAAACAAATGAGTAGTTCTTAGTCATAGCATGGTACTAAATGGCATAAAAAGAATATAACAGCAATGACATAAATAAAGATCGATATCAGAGACGCTGTCCACTCAAAACAACATTCATTCATTTGGTGTTTTGCTGACTAGGCAGGAAGTTGTTTTGACCAAAACCATAAGTCAGGGGCTAAAATTCATTTTTGCTATGCATGAAGTACAACTAGATCTATGCTGGTTTTACAAATCAAACATGGAAAAGAGAGATTAATGTTAGAAATACTGATGTCCGATCATGTTACGAGTAAAAACACATATCAGACGAGGAAAACCAGATGAGAGTTAAATGATCTTGAACGGGGATAACACTCTGGTTCGATCATTTTAGACAATATTTCTATCTGACAGTGTTCAACTGAATGTCACCGGTTACTACACCCAAATAACCTCGTTACTAAACCTAAACTACAATTGCATCTCCTACAGCATAGAATGTAAAATGTTTTGTTTCCAAAAAATCTAACGGCAAACGGGAGAAATACAATCTGCAACTGTCAGATCAGTGTGTCCCAAGTCCCCGGACGAGCCACATCTTCTTCTGTTACCCAGGGTTAGCCAAGGGCTAACATAGCTAACAAAGACAACATCAAGAGACTAAACATAAATTTGTCCCAGCTTGGTGCTGAAGGGCATCACTTACGTATACTGGTAACGGCCAGGGATAACCAGCGGGTTCCGCTCCAACCGGCGATTTGAGCTTTAGCTCCAGCTTTTCTCCCATTCTCCACTCTGATAGAGAGCTAACTAGCTCCTGACTGCTCTGTTAGCCAGCTGCTCGATAAGCGAGCGACTCACAACGGGAACATTTTGTAAGGGGGTAAAAACGGCGAAAACTTGAAAAATAAAAACGACCTCCACACTCGCTACGGGAAAAATACACACGCGATGCAGTCAGGTGTGTACAAGAATCCCGCTCGTTTTAATATTATTAATAAAACGCCTATTATGTGCTCACTGGCAGGAACATCTCGTCCGTTTCGCCGCCATCTTGCCCGGCATGAATAAATATGGCAGGAGGCCACTGGCACGAGAGGAGGACTGTGACGACTGCGCTTGGGCCAAAAAGCAACGTGCACGAGCGCCATACAACTGTTTCCGAACTGCGTGAGAGACGTGACATCACAATTATTTTCCAGATAAATACCCGAATAGTTTATTTGCGTGAAGCTGAAATATTTCACAATGTGTAATTTCCATCCACTTAAAGTAATAAAATCTGATAATTAAAAACATAAAACAACAAACTTGAAACCAGCTACAAATTCCATCGACTGAAAGTTTCTTTACTTATTTTCCTGCCCATTAAATATATTTTTATATAAGAGCCATAAATAATAATAATAATAATAATAATAATATATTAGAGGTAAATGTGTCAGCCAAAAAATTGAGGGAAAAAAGAACAATTTTATTAAAAACAAAAAAACCTACAAAATCATCAAATAAACAAATTTAGACTAAAATACCAAACCAGAAAACACAATAACACAGTGAATATGCTTTGTAAACAAATCAAAAAGAAATTAATCTAGTTTGTTTATATAATGACAGTGTACCAATACAATCTAAAGATCGATATGTATGAGTTTATACATCAAATCAATCTTTGTTGTTCCGGTACGACACATCCATAGTGCAACTGAATCACATTTTCAAATCAATGCAGACAAATTCAGCTGATCATTTGTCAGTTGGTAAAAAGCTATCCACAGACCACTAGTTTACACACTAGTTACTAACTCTGCTGCTAATCCCTGCTCATGAACAAGTTGGGGCAGTGAAGATACAAGGACTGGGACATTCCAGAAAACATAAGGAAACACTGGATTTTTGGAAACATATTGGCAACAAAGCAGAATTCTGACCAAGACATCATGAAATGTTCCACATTTATGTATTTTTAAAGACGATATTCTAATAACAATATCACAAACTTTAAACAGTGTGTTGCAAATAGTTTACAGATGAGATCATGTTGATCATAAATCCGATGGTAAGTTCGAAGCATGTGCTGCCTTGTTTGTTGATCTGTTCAACGCTTTTAATTTTCTAAACCACACATTGTTGTTCAGTCATGTTGGTGTGAGCAAAGGGCCCATTAGCCTGGTTTAGAAGCTACTTTTCAGACAGATCACACCGTCCTTCTCCAGGTGGAAATAAAATTTTTTAAAAGGACCCCCCCCTCCCCCGAGGCCTAATCTCTGCTCCCCTTTAATTTTTCATTTTATAAATAACACAGAGATATACTATACTATCATTCCAACACATCAGAATGACAGTTTACAGTATAAATGCAAACTGCACCATGCAGATGGCACCGTACATGCTTTACTCAATTGACAATATTCTCAGGCAATGTTGTTTGCGCGTCAGCTGCCTTCCAGTTGCTGCAGGCTTTGCCATTTAACTTAAAGAACATTATTAATATAAAAAATAAAACCACATTTAATTAAGTATCATTTTATTGAACTTATTCCCTCTTTAGATAATGTATTGTGAGAGAGAGAGAGAGAGAGAGAGAGAGACCGTACTGAAAAAATCTTATTCTTCAAATATTAGTGTATCTGGCCGAATGGTTGTTTGTCTAAAGTGAATACTAAGCATGCAGCCAAAAAGTCTGAAAGTTAGACTGTGCTTTTGTTGTCAAAATAGGCTCAGTCTTAATTTATTGGTAAAGAAAAACTTGTATAGGCTGCATCTTTACATTTTCTTACTGCACTCTGACCAGTTTGTAATACAGAACCCATCACTGTCCAACTTCTTGTTAGACAAACCATTTACTTCCTTCATGTAAATTTTCATTTGTTTTACATTCTAACGTTAATGTCAAACTACAACAAATAGGCCAGATATTATGACCACCTGCCAAGTAATGTGCTCATGCCGGTTTTGCTATCGAAACAGCTCTGATCTGTTTAGATGTGGCCTCCGTTTGACTCGTGAAGGTGCACTTTGCTGTGGTATTTGGCACCGAGACGTTGTTAGCCACAAATCTATCACGTTCTGCAAGTTGCCAGACTGGCCCTCCATGGATTGGACTTGTTCATCCAGAACGTCACAGATGCTCCATTGGATTGAGATTTGGAAAATTTGGAGGCCAACTCAGCATGGTGTGCATTATTGTTGACCCAAAGCAAAAAAATATATACAACAGGGCACTTTATCCTGATGAAAGAGGCTAACGCCATCAAGGAAACATGTTTTTGTCCTTACTGGTCTGTGAATATACCGTCCCATACGCAACAAACTAATCTACAGTGTTGCTGATGCATTTCTCTCAGTGCAGCTTCAATGCTCCTTGGCACAGGCTCTCCGTTGCTTCTTTTTGACAGCTTGGAGTGGCAAGAGTGGCCTTTAAACTTTGAACAATCTTTTTTGGTCTGACTTCAGCATGTTTGATCATATTCTACGCTGAGCTGTTGCAACAGGCAGAGATCTCAGATGACAGCAACACTCCTGCAGAAGAAGCTAACCAGGTCAAGGGAAGCACAGAATGATTAAGGTACGTAAAAAAGATAAATGGAAATTCCAGAGAAAGAAATATTGAGCAACCCAAAGCTGAAACATTCCTATAAAACATGTAGTAATACTATAGATGTTATCAGTCTGTGTGAAGTGTAATCGGGTTGTGAGAAGGTTACTGGGAGAAAAGTCAGTAAAAAATAAAAAATAAAATACAGAGGCGATCTCTCACCCTTATTTTACTTGATACTTTTCATAATGAAGAAAAATTCATGAAGAAATTCAATAAAGTCAGCACTTTAACCTTATTGAGCTCAGTAGAGGGTACATAGACGACCTTTGGAAAATGCAAACACAAGAAGAAGGGATCAATGTGCTTGATCAAAGGTCACAGCAGGGAACTATCGCACACAAAAAAAAGAGTTAAACCCTGCAAAACAAATACTGAAGTCAGTTCTGGCAGCTTCCAGTGTTGCAATAGTTTACCGTTACAACAGATATCTGCTACAAAATCTTTAATTTTACCAAATAAATTGGACAAAAAAAAAAAAGAAGTTAAAATTCAAATTAGGTCAGTAGTAATCTGTTTTTCTACTTGACGCAACTCCAAAACACCGTAATGTGTTTTTCCAATCGTCAACTCGACCAGTAGAGTAAATAAGGCGCAGCTCTTCTCACGGGGAGTTTTGTAGGTTGATCAAAATCAACAGCATTAACAACTTTGCGCAGCTGCTATTGATAATGAACACTTCCAGCATCTGCACGAAATTGATGAGTCATGCATTTGTGGAGCAATTTAGGGCGATTAAATAAACTGTGCTCAGTGCCGCACAACAGCACACAATTTGGATGCTATATTAATTCACTAGAGGTTATCTGCACAGCTGTAAAACATCCACAATGAGGTGGGTTTCATTTTAATAAACTGCTGCTCACCAAAATCTTGTCTTTTCATGGACGATCGCAGATTTTGCAGCCAAAGGTCACAGATTTGATGGCAAGCGCATAAATAAGAATTACAGACATTAGGGAGAATTTTTATTTATTTATTTTAAAGAAGCTGACTAATTTAGGTTGCTAAACTAGAACAGAGTCAATATTGTTTAGTGGGTTCAGTCATGTGCAGCTGCGACGTGAACTCAGATTGTAGCTCATTATATAAACACTGGGAGTATCTATGAAAGATATGATTTACTCAAACATTTCAAAACACTAGCATCATCAATCTAGTATTGTTTCACTTTTGAGTTACAAATAAGTTCAAATCAGATGTGAACGTGACTTCATGAACATAAAAATACACTGAAATGTAATCCACACAGACAAACGGGGGCCTCACAACAGTGAAAGCCTCACGTCAAACGATCAAGATTAATAGAAAGGTAATATCTATGGGGGGTGGGGAACACAATGTAAGGAGAATACAAAGTGGGCACAAAGGTTTAGATCTTCCACACACTCAAAGCTTGGCTACAAATTACTGAAGCAGATTGTGATACAATCCCAGTAAAATTACCAGCAGTCAAACCTGGCAGTTTGGGGTCTCATTGATGCAATGCAATGCTTTGTGTTGAAATGCTGAGAGAAGCACTGCTACTGGCTCTTTTATATATAAAAAAAAAGTAAGAAAAAAAATCAATTTGTCATGCTGTATTAGGACCTTTTGTAAAGAACTATTTAGCCTGGCCCCTGTCTAAGAGTTGAGAAATTTCACGACGACGTCCCAGAGCTTTACCCTTCTAACTGCAGTCACATGTATATGCATGGGCTTTTACTAATGCTTTAAAATATGTGAATAGATAGAAATGTCCATGCTTGCAAGCTGTACATGAGAGGAAAATGTTTTTTTTTTCTTTTTTAATCATTACTTATTTGGTGTGTCGAAATCGATGTTTGCTTTCCTTTAAACTCCAGCAAAGTAACCCAAAGTCTAATGTACAGTTACAAATTCAGTTGCACAAACAGAAACCAGCACCGAAATCCAGACAAAAATAAATCCTATCTGACAACTAAAAAAAAAAAAAAAAGAAAAATCTTGGAAACACGGAAGGGGAGGGGAGCTCTGCTGTGTGTGTGTGTAAACATGTCAGTATGCATGGCGCTGTATGTTGGGGAGAAAGAAATGGCAGCCTGCCACGGTGAACTCGCTGACCGGGCCCCCTTCGACTCCCCGAGCTGCTCGGAGGCCAACTTTGGGACGGGAGCCAGAGTAGCAGGGCTCAGGCACGGCACAGCCAAGTGGAGCACAAGTTAAAGTGAAGATTTCTGGGATCTGTGTCGGATTACAGCGAGGCTTGTCCTCTGCATCGCATCTTTTGCTTCCAACAGCAAAAGATGCAAAGTTTTGTTAAATAAAAAACAAAAACAAAACACAAAAACATTTATGGGCTGTGAGAAAATGATGCTGCTCAGATACGTATCCATGTACACCAGAGAGTTAAACAGAAGTCTTTTTGTTCCGGGGTCAATAATTTGTTACGTCTTACCACTGCACTCAAGATGCAACAGTGAAGGAGACTGGAGGTAATTTTAAGTTTCATGTGTAATCCAACACTCGCAGGAACAAAACTGATGCGACAAAGGCTACAATGTGAAACTGCTGCCATCTACAGGAAATGAGTTGTAACAACATTCTCCTCACAGTGATTTTAACGGGTAAGTCAGTTTTGAAAGCAGAGCTTGAAAAAAATGTTTTATTTTATTTTATTTTATTGGAGTTAAAAGAAAAGGACATCTAAAGACCATCATCTCAAGTAAAAAAAAAAAAAAAAAGTTGTGCATCCTCTTACCCATTTTGTTGCAGCCAGAAACATCAATGTATTACTTGAGTATTTACGTAATATACCGAAACAAAGTAGAACTTGATTTTGGAACGACAGGAATTTTATGGTTCCAATAATGTGTCCGGAAGTGAGCCCTGCATTTATATGCAAATCCTCATCATTCTGGTACCCCTAAATAAACTCCAGAGGAAGGCATTAATCAGCAAGATTAAAACAAACGACTAACCACACCTGGCAGGTCAGGGATGTAGTTATGGAGAAGTTTAACTATAGAAAATCTCAGAACTGCTCAATCCATCATCCAATCCTCAAAATATTTATGTGGCTCTCCAAACACAGCAAAAGAACGGTAAACGTTTTGTTCCTCCTGCAATTGAAGCTGATGCAGACGGACGCTGTAATGTTTAAGGACGATGTTTTTAAAAAGAAATGTACATCTTCACACAGACATGGGCCAAGCCATTTGTTTAACCTCTGCTGAAAACGGCATGGGTTTCGTTTCTGATGCTGAGAATAACCTGGCAAACAAATTAAAACTCAATCCACCTAAAGAGTCAGGAAACTGAACACCCTTATTTTAGGCAAAGATAAATTATTCTTTCCTATTTTGATTGCCTAAAATATTGATTGTGATTATTTCTGAGTGGGAAAAAAAAAGAAAATCACAAAAAAATAAATATATGTTTCTAACAACGATTAAAAGAAAATTTGGCCTCGGCTCATTCAACCCAATTTTGGCCGGAGTAAAAAAAAATGTTTATGCACCACTGGCTTAAATCGAAAGCATTTTCATGGGTTACAACTGTGGCAAGACATGGAAACATATGATCACAAATTTTCCTTTCATTCAGACTGAACTTTTTTTTTTTTAAATAAAAAAATATATACTTTTTTCCCCCTTTCGTTATATGTTCTTTTGTGCATCAGAGAAAATCCGAAATTGCATTGTAATTTGTGGTTGAAAATGAGAAGATGAGGAAAAAGTTCAAGGGGAATTAATTCATTTTGCAAGGCACTATACATTTAGTTTTCAAAATCCATAAAAAATTAGGGGGTCTTTAATTGTGTGAAATTAAATGCCTAACTGTGAAAATAAATACCACAACAACCGGTTCTGATTTTCCCACGAGGGTGTTAAAGAGTTTTATTGAAACAAAAATCACTTTAAGTCCCAGTCCCTTATCGTTCTCAAAAGGAAAAAAAAAAAAAAAAAAAAAAAAAAAGGTAGAAGAAGCAGCATACTTTGGATTTTAGCTGTGATATTTCATGACTAATCTTCAAAGCCCTCCTTGCTTTCACAGCAGCATGTGTATCATCAAGAAACAGAACTATACAACAGGTCATTTTGGCACAATCAGCTCATAACAGTGGCACTGTGCTGGCATGTCTTCACTGACAAGTTTGCTCTCCACTGGCTCAAAACATCTTGCATCCATCAACTCATCTGCAATGGATCTGGAGCCGTAACAGAGATGCGCTACAAACCAAACACAGCAACAATGAGGACAAAGGCATTCCTTGTTAAACAGCTGTGGTTGTGGGTTAAAGTGAAGTGTCGACTGCTCACGTCTTCGATCCAAAACTCGGATCCAGCAGCACATGATCCAACACCGTTCTGATAAAAGTTGATGTAGTGTTAACAGAAGAAAAAACTAAAAAAAAAAACTAAAAAAAAAAAAAAAAAAATCAAAGTGAGCATTTTCTGACTTCCTCTTGACGTGTTGTGCAGAGTTATAAATTATGCAGAGTGAAGAAATGAAACAGGAAGTAAAAAAAAAAAATACTGTAAGATCCTTCTTTGCCAACATTTGGTGAAAGCACTTTGTGCCATTTCGCTTGATAGGCGCTTTGGTTTAACATGCTGGTCTGAGCCACGGCCAACCGATTACGCGCCAATTCAGCCGGACGATGCCTTTGCTTGGATTTTGATGTTCTTGGGCAGTTTTTTCTTCTTCTTCTTTTTTTAAACCAAGTAAAGATAAAAGACTGCTCATTGTAACATTCATTTAGCATGCATTCTGAGAGACAGAAAAAAGTGTCTTTAGGACAACCCCTCCCACCCCAGTAACAGCAAGATCAGGAGAGAGAAAGTGCTGATTTGTAATATTCACATAAAGAGATCAATACAAGAAATGAATTCAGCGGATGAAGTCGACTCGCTTCTCGAAAAGGCTTCTCCGAGGACGTTAGCGGGTTTGGGCGAGACGTTTTCAGGAACCAATCATTGTTGACATCACGTCCTGAAAAGGCAAAAAGAAAAAAACAAAAAAACAAAAAACACTCGGCGCTCCTTCGACGTGAAGGATCGGGACGATGGACAACGATGCCTTCGTCTTAACAGTCATCTTAATGGGACTAGAAAGGGGGTCAAACTAAAGACAACTCCCCCCCCCCAAAAAAAAAAATAAAATAAAAGCATATCTCTCTTTTTAGATACAGTAAATGTTTAAACACAAACGATGATCATATAGGTTTAAAAGATATGAGATCTGATCTGAAAAATAACTTCTTTCAAACAACTTTAAGTCGTATGTTGCTACAAAAGCCTGAAAGAGTACCAATTGAGAGCCGACGGGTGGCCTGGTAGGAAACACTGCTGTAAGGAGCACCGCAGAACGACTCGACGGGGAAGAGACTGCTTCCAAGAAAATAAATCTACATTCCAAGGGTGACTGAGAACTTCCTCCCCGCTCTGTTAAGACATCTCCACGATTTTCAGAAAAGCCAAACACAAAAACCAGTGTCCGACTCTGTGCATTTCTGTTTTTTTTTTGGGTTTTTTTTTTGATTCAAATACTAATTTCTGCATCTCTACAAAGAGAAAGAATACTATTGCCAACACTGACAATTAGAAGGGAAAGGCAGCTTCTGAATAGTAAAATACTGGCAGACAATCATAATCTGAGGACACAAAAAAAGAGACAGCATTTTTTTAAGCACTGATTTGATTTTGTTTCTTTTTAAAGGAGTGTAAAATAATTTCACCCCCACCAACAAAGTTAAATGACGAAAAATAAATAGGAAACTAAAAAGATTCAGCTTTGCGAGCAATACAATTATGTGAAGAAAACTCATGAGCTAGTCACTATTTCTTTTTTTTTTTTTTTTTTTTAAGTGTTCAAAAACTAATTTTGGTGTACAATCTGCAGTTTTCATCTCAGAGTTCAAATTCATCCAGTTTCAAAAGCAGGAAAAATTATTTGGAAAATCTCCCATGAAAGTAGGAATATTTCACAATAAACTCTCAAGACTCTGTTGCGCATTAAAGGCAGGGTAGGCTGCTGAAGAGCAATATTTATAGATCCACTTTTTTCTACGCTCAGATCTGGCCCACATCCTTAAGAAAAAAAAAAAACAATAGGAAAAGGTTTAGGAAAAAGAGATCATGTGTCCTGCCTCACCCCAACACATGGGATTTGTCCTTTTGTGACATTTCTTTTTAGTGGAAGAGGAATCCAAAGTTTTCCCTTTATCTGCCCGGTTTCCAGGGATAACAGGGAAACGGACTCTAGTGACTACGTTTAAAGTTGCTGATGATCGTACTCTGCGATAAGTTTCTTTATATGAGCCAGTTTCTTGTGTAGATGTTCACAGCGGTTCTTCTCTTGGCTATAATTTGGATTAGTCTGTGAAGACAGAAGTGCAGAGTCACAGCCTGATCAGACTCACATTTTCTTAAAAAATAAAATAAATAAATAAAAATCAGCAAAAATGTTTTTACCTTTTTGATCTTATGATACTCTTGAAGTATCTGATTGTGGATTGACTGTTGGGGAAAAAACAAAAATAAAGAGCATTCTAAATGAATGTGAAATACTGAAACAGCATTTCCTTAATCTTTACAAGGTTTCTGCAAGTTTCGGAAGGTTACATTGACCTGACCTACTTAAATGTGACTCTGATTCAAATATTCTTCCTAAAAAATAAATTTATAAAAGAGAAACTACAACAGATGCTACCGCAGAGGGCAAAGACTATCCCTATTTATTTTTTTTACCACTGTTTAAAGTCTGAAACTAATTTCTGAAGGCAGTCAGGAATCTCCTGACTGCCCCATTTAAGTCGATTTTAAGTCTCGTGGAATAGAAAACGAAGACAGAAACGCAAAACCAGAGGACTCACAGCTTTAGTATCATCCAGAGTTTGAAATATACGAGTACACTGGGCTAGCACTGAACATATGGATTCAGCAGCTGTGAAAGTTAAGAAATTTGGCATGGGAAAAATTCAAATTAGAATGCTGAATTTGTAAGTAATTATTGTTGGGTGGCATGATGTGTAAATGCAATAGCAGGTGCAAAATGCACACTTTGGTTACAATCATGTAGGTTTCAACTTCCAGCCTTGGGATGCGACGCATTCCTTCCCCATTCGCTCTCTCATAGTGCAACAAGGAAACGCTTCCACTGAACTAAAGGAAAATAGGTCATATTAATCTACACACAGTCCTATTGTAAATTCTTCAGACTATATATCATTTTGTTTCATTTTTGCAATCCTTTATAATAAAAATACATTTTTGTAGCCTTTAAAGCATTTTCCACTGACAGTTTTGAGCAACGCAGCTATAAATTATCTGCATCCTTTTTCAATTTGTGGCTTACTGCACTTTTATTAGCAATTTCTTTAGATGCACCAGACTCGTACATAAACTCATGCATATTAAAATTTTGACTGCATTGATATATATATATATATATATATATATATATATATATATATATATATATATCAAGTTGAAGATAAACTGCTCTATTGTAGGTTTCATGGTAGATTAATTTTAGTGCATCTAATAAATGGGGAGAAACATGTGACCTGCTGATCACCAGTCAAAGGCGGTTAAAGGAAAACTGGCTGATTCCATTGGATGATTTATTGTTTGCTCCATTTTAGATTTGCCGCTGTTTTTTGTTACAGAACAATAAGATCCAACCAAAAAATAAATAAATAAATAAAATCTTGACAGTTAAATTCATCAAATGAAAAAAAAACTTGGGTGAAAACAGCAGTGAATAAATGGCGCATAAAAGTGAAGAATGCATTATGAAAAACATTTCTGAAGCTTGCAGAAACCCTGTCTTTACTATTTTATCAGCCTTGTCGTCAGACTTCCTTCTGAGCATTACTTTGTGTTCGTTTCGCATGTACCTTGTACTTGTCTGTGCCCTGTAGAAGCTGCTTCAGCTCGTTGTCGAGCACAGTGAACTGCCGGGTGATGCCCTCTATTCGAGCGTGCAGACCCCGGTACTCGCTGTATTCGGCGTTGAAATCGTTTTTATACCTTTGGCGCTGCTCCGGGGAGGTGATCACTGTGTACTTTCTGGGATTAAAAATACAACAAAAAGTATGAGCATCAAATCCCCCTCAGACATCATGGTTTGTTTCCAGCGAGCAGAAGACGTGCTGGATTCATTTCACGCAAATGCCAGAAAGGCAGCCAGCTTTTGTTTGTGTTGAAACCGTGATCGCTGCGGAAAGCACCTTGCACATGAATTTTACAACAGCTCAAACAAATGATTCTTCTTCACATAAGTGAAGAAATTTTTTTTTAACTCTGCTGCAATACAAAAAGTCCCTTATAAATTGTAAAACTACAAACACCCCAAAATATATTAATCATGTCTGTGACTGCTGATTTTTGCTCGACTTCTGTCTAAATTGCAGCCTGGGGGAGATCTGTGTTGACCACAGCTGCCAAAATGACAGAAGATAATCACATGTTTTCAGCACTCTGGCCAACACCTGCCTTCCTTCCTCCTTTCTCTCCTGTGCCTCACTGTTTCACTAACAAAGCTTGTCTTCAGATTGTGAGGAGAAAAAAAAATGGTTTGTTCTTGCTAGAGTTGTCCCCATCTGGACCCCAAGTGTTGAATTAGGGCCCAGCCCATGCATTTTAAATCTAGAAGTATAGTCTTTCATTAAACCCATCATATTAGCTGTATGATTTTATGAGTGCAGTAACCAAGATAAACTTTTAAAACATTGTATTTTATTGTACAAGGCTTGATGTATCCCTAGATTCCTGCTCTTTGAATCTACAAGCATAAATCTGGCATTTATTTTAATAATAACAGACTGGTGGATTCAGTGATTCCTACTTTTAAATGACTTTCGTTGAGATTGTGGACAAAGATTCCTGACTGGGAAAATCCAGATTTCATATTTAGAACCAATTAAGTAACTTACTTAATACTCACAATAAATAATCTGGCACTTCAGGTGATGATGAAGGAATACTGGTAGTTTTGCACATCCCATTCAGATCTGAAACAAGGTCACAAAAATTTGAGTTTTACTTTTTAAAGATGTGACAGACCAAGGTACAAACTACAAGAACCTAATTTAAAGAAGGTCAGCTCATTGGTCCGTCACTCAGACATATTTTGTGTGCACAAGTGAAGACGGCTCAAAGGCGAGTTTTTTTTTCAGGAATTCAATTCAAACGGGGAAACTCACATGGGTGAGTGTGTGGAATATTTTAAAGAGTTTCTACAGTTTAGATCAGGACAGTTTGTTGGCCAATCAAACACAGTTATTACAGCATGTAGTGGGAAACTGAGCCTGGAACCAGGTAGGATGCTTCTGCTGTCTCTGGTACAGGAGAAGCTTAACGCCAGGAATGCGACTGCTGTAATCCATGTCCTGTTTGTCTCTTTTGGTGGCTTGTGAAACACAGACTTAAGTCGCAGGCCATGGTCTGTCTGCCTCCCACAACTGGTTTTGCCTTGCAATCTTCTGAAAGCTGTGGTAATTCCTGTTGCCTGTGCGCTTTTCTCTACAATGTCTTCCTTCCACTCAATTTTCTATTAGCATCTGAGGAGCTTGCTTCTTTACGCCTCTTATCCTCACAAACAAAAGCTGTCAGCAGTTGTGATTCAATTGACCATAAAATTGTGCAAATTGGAGTTATAAATACAAATTTGCTTAAAAACTAACTGAAGAAAAATAAAAACTTGTATTTTTAGCTAAGTTTTTGTGGTTTTACAGCCATATCAAAACTTATTCACATCATCTTAAATTTCTTATTAAATGAATTTGCAAAATTGTGGAGGTTTTTTTTCTTCGACGTTAGCGGAACATCTACATTTTTTGCGCACATATTTAATGGGAACACTGCTGGCGACTGTCTGCTTCTTAGTTCGTAGGCTGCAACATTTCTGTTCTGATCAACTTTTTGATGTTTTTTGTTAGATGAACACCATAATCAATCAAAATAGACATAAATCAGCACTTGAACTTCTATCTTATTGAGATGAACCTGTACATAAATAAGGGAATATTTCCATAAAGAACAGAGCAGAGAATATTTTGGACATGAAGTTGAACAGCAGGGGTCTCACTTTAGACACTGAGAAGCTTTCAGGTCACATGATTCATCACCTACTCAGTGGGATGACTAACACTTGTATACATAAAGTAGTATTTTATTGAGAAACACACAATGTGTGAGTGTGCTGGGTCTTACCTGTGCTTTTAAACGCAATACTGTTCTTGAAGTTTGTCAGGCTCATCTCACATGCTGCTTTGGGCTCAGACGCAGGCTCTTGACAGATCTTTTTCTCCTTCGCCCTCCCTTTCCCCTTGTCCTTGCTTTTCTCCTTGTCTTTATGCTTTTTTGACTTCTTTCTGGATTTGTTGTTCACCGCTAAAGGGCCATTGTCCCGCGGGCCCTCCAGCACGGTGTGCCCGGAGGACGATGTGCCTATGCTGGGCGCTGAGGCCACCGTCGACACGGACAGGAGCGATGGCGGCTGACTGAGCCTCTCGGACAGCGTCGTTTCCTGAGAGTCGCCGTCCCGCCCGTTGTTACTGGAGTCGTTGCTGACGTCCGACAAAGCCTCGAAAGGACGCGGGATGTCTAGCACCGGGAGCGGCTGCGAGCCGGACGTCATGCCGCTTTCGGACGTCGACACTGCGCCGCCGGAGTCTCCTCGCCCGCACGAAGAGCCGAGCTTGCCGTTTATTTGGACTGTTGCGGCCTTGCTGGCAAGGTGTGATATTCTGGGCTTTTTGTTGGCAAGAGGGTCGATGAAGTCAACAGTCGGCCGTTTCTGGTGAAAAATAAGACACCAGGTGTTAAAGACAGGTGCAAATATATGCAAGAATAGATTACAGAAAAGCTGTTTTTTCACCAAAATGTTCCAAAACACTTAAAATGAGTACTTGAACTGGACTTCTCTTATTATCCTGAAGACGTTTCATCCTCTCACCCAAACCTTCTTCAGTTCAGAAACTCATGTTGTAAGTATAGGGCTCTTTAGTTTTAATCAGGAGCAATCACCCTGATGGGGCAATAGAGACAGGGGCAGTGCCAAAGGGGGTGTGGAGGTTTCTGCCCCCGACCGACACTGAATTGCCCCTTCCCGATGATTGACATGTAAAAGCACCAGGGCATTTCTGTGCAGTAGTACTGCTGTACAGAAATGCAGTACTACTGCATTTCTAAGCTCTCTGTGGCTACTTGTAAGAAATATCCTAAAGATAAATGTGAGGGAAGTGGAGAAAATGAACAAGTGGGACATGCATGTATTCATCTAATATATAATGAGATTCTCAAATGCTTTCCCTAATCTTTATCTATGCATGAATAAAGTAAGGAGGACTTTATTTTTTTTTTTTAACTAAAGATAATGAGGTCGTTGTCGTCACTAATGAAGGATGTTTTCCAAACACAATTTTCTGGTACGTTTTAAATCTAGTAAAGCTCTCAGACAAAGGACAAAACACCCAAACAAAAGCTCAGTGGTTTGGTAAATGCAGTCCAGCGCAGTGAAGAATGTTCAGACATTTACACTGGAGAAGCAAAACAGCAGCTGCACAGATGAGCTAACTCAGGCCAAGACTCAGAGGTTTATCTACATCTCAAGGACAAAGAACAATCCTTCAAAGATAACAATGTACACATTTTGGACAGGGAAGACCGACGGTTTGAGAGGCGTGAAAGAAGCCATCTATGTGAAATATGAAAAACCAACCTTGAAAAGAGGAAGCTGTCTAAAATTCAAACCTCCTTAACATCTACAGTGTTGCCTTGACTTGTTTCTCCAGGCGGTTTCACAGAAACTCGTACCTTGAGACATTTGACCAAAACTGTAGTCACTGTTGTTGACATTGTTGGGGATTTGATAGGATCATCAGAGTCAACGAGACTTAAAAAGGGAATATAATAGAGGGTAGGGCCAGGATTTCACATGACCTCATTAGTGACATCAATAAGGGTGATATCGCCCTTTCCATGTGACTGTTACTGATTACACATTGTGGACCTGATGCTTTCTAAGTTTCAGAACTGAAGAAACCTTTTGGATATCTTCAAGAAAACGAGAGAAGTCCAGTTACCGGCACCTTCATTTTTAACTTTCACGATTACCATGTCCAGATGGCTGAGAATCTAAACTAACATCCTTAAAACGTCTCAGCATAACGCTGGAAAGATAGATCAAGAACCAATTAATGATTGGGGCTGCATCTGCAAGACTCATTTACCCCTTCAAAAGAATTATTTTGCATAACTCGTCCAACACCTTAATATGAGATCAAAACTATCCATGGATGGAGCCTCCATGTACGAACATCTCTAAAAATGTCACATTTTTTGTGATATGGTAAAATCAAATATGTTCTGCATAATTCAACTGAAAATGAAGAATGAACTTCAGTTTCAAATACAGTCACAGTTTCCAAAGAGCCTACTAAGAATCAAAGGGAGCACACTGTAAAAATGTATCAATCAGGAGAAGGGTACAAAACATTCACAAGGCTAACATTTTCCCAAAACCTTGAGGCAAACTGAGATATGAATTTATGAACCCAAACTTTACATTTTCAAAAGGCACTTTCAGGGAAAACAAAAACAGACATAACATCAGTGAAAGATGGTGGTGGAAGCATTGTGATCTAGGGTTACGATTCCTTGTATGCAACAAGGTAAATCTGACAGAAGACCTGTTGGGTCACTTGAAAATGGCCGTGGACATCCTCACAATGACGAGGAAGAAAACCGATTTTGAGAAGAAAAAAAATAAAAAATAAAAAATCAACAGTAGTTTACATGAGTGAACATTTATGCAATCAGTTTTTTTTTTCTTAGTGTAATGTAATGTAATTTTATTTATATAACACAATTTCAGCAGCAAGTGCATTCACTTTGTATTAACAGATGTTAAGTGGAAACAGATGCTTTAACAGTAACATATGCTTTTGTTATTCTGTTGACTTGTTCAGGATGTTTGGCACTTAAAGGGTGCAAGTATGTGACCGACGGGAAGTAACACTTTTGAAATCTACTGTATTTGTCCAGTGAGTATGAAAAACTGCATTGTGGAACTTCCTGATTTAACCTGAACATTACACTAAGCTCTCTGTGGCTACTTGTAAGAAATATCCTACAAACTAATCCTTCAGTACTGCTGTCTTTTACGCATGTATGTGTATGTGTGTGTGTGTGTGTGTGTGTGTACGTGTCTGTGTTGTGTTTGCAAAGGGAGGGACAGGAAAGAATGGGGCATACAGTAAGTGCCTGGGGTGAAAACAACCTGGAGGGAAGGAGCTATTAATAAAACAGAGCAGGTTCTCGTTTGTCTGCCGAATGGAAACGTAAATAATCCTGCTGGCCATGTGTTTGTAAGCAACGCAAGTCAAATGGAAGCAGTTAGACATGCATTACAAATTAAGCTGTAAAACAAAAATACACTCAAGCAAAAAATAAAAAATAAAAAGTTAACGCAAAAATTCAAACCAGAATAAATTCACAAAAAGGGGAAATAAATAGTCTCCTATGTCTTAAAGTGATGGAAAGCTGAACTGCCATAGACTTAATAATCACAGTGGACATGCAGTTGCATAAAGCTGCAGTAAAAGTATCTCAGTCAACATGCTTGGAAGGTGAAAAGGTGACCACCAGGTGAACGAGGGAAGGCGGGACTCACCTGAGACGGAGAACTGGATCCCAGCTCTTTGGGAGGACTCTCTGGTATGGGTGCAGAGCTGGTTTGGGCCTGTTTTCTGTGTGAATTCAAGCAAAAACAGGTGCAGATCCCATTAAGTAGCTTGAAAAAACATCACAGTCAAAGCTACACTCAGTGGAACAGCATTAACCAATAAAACATCAGCAGCATCATCTAAAAGCTCCACATTTATTCACATTCCTCGCAACAGAATGCGAGAAGCGCTTAAGGCACGGGAAATTTGTTATCCTGTTTTTACTGTCGCTAATATTTGGACATTCAAAGTTTTCTCCTAAAACCGGTAAGTGCCATCATGTTCTAAATTCAACACATTTAAATCCTTTAAATTTGAAAATGCATCACTCAAAACGACAAAAACTATTGAGCTCTCATCTCCGTGATGACAAGTAAATTACATGGAAGCGGACTTCGGAGACAAGTTACAGTTGCCGTGTGAAGCTGAGTGGGTAGCTATGACAACTGTGAAGGAGGAGGTACTTGACAGAACAGCGTTTTCATCACAAACAGATTATGCTAATTTTCAGCAATTAAACCCACACATTTCCGTTAGTTTAACCCCATTTAGTGTGTTTTTTAAGAAGTATTTAATGGATAATTTTCTCTCTCTTTTTTTAAATCTCTGTCACAGTTAGTTGAGTGTTTATTTTATAGCTTAACAACTACAGCAGATTGATGGAAGATAGTGAGACGGCAAGCTAACACTCTGCAGTGACAGAAAGAAAGTGAGAGCTGGAGAATATGGTGGTGCAGCTCACTTTGAGAAAGGAAGCCATTTGGCCAGCGGGATTATGAAAACAATCGCTACGTAGTTGTTCGGAGGTGTCGAGGCACCGGTTGTGTTTGCTTCTGAACTGCTTTTATTCCTGGCCACCCCCACACAGAGCTCGCACGGCTGCGACGTTCACACCTGCTTCGGAGGATATGCACTTTTGGCTTCATTTATCCAAGCAGAAAACATTACGGCTCCAGGTACGAAGCGAGCCTCGTGTTGTAGTAGAGCAAGCAGTTAGGCAGTAGCAGCCAAACAAGGAGCCGTGTTGATATAAACCTATCCAAGATAAACTGGTCATCTCCACAGAGATTAAATGAAGTCTCAGGATTTAAAAAAAAACGCATAGATTTTTATGCATGTATAGCATGGCAAGAAGCAAAACATTAAAGCTTGCTCTGGATTAAGAGTGCACAAATAGAGATGACATTACGGTTGCAAAATTAAAAGGTGCTTAGAGCTGCACAATGTTGCCACAACTGATGACAAACTCAGTTGTTGGGCACGGTTTGGCACGAGGACAGTCCTGCAGGCAGGGACTGCAAGTGAGACGAGAGGCAGACCGATTCGGCTGGACCTTGGACGGACTCCACCTCACACACAGATCAGCATGTGCTGGAACACTGTTGCATCATGCGCGTTCCAGTCATGTTGCTCTGCTGCTGCTCCTGCGTGACTTGCTGCATGAGCTCCAAACTCTAGAGGAACTAAGGCGGGGGAGGCAGAATTAGGTGGGAGGCTCTGGTTTTTAGTCAGCTGATGCTCACAAACTGAGCTGAAAGTGCAAAAAAGAGAAAGAAGGTGCACATTTGCACTGTCTTATAAAACAAAATGTGTCTGTGAACTCATTGGATGCACTGGGAATTAAAGAAACAGAAATCCATTTAGAGTGGGATAGTTCAGCCGCTATGTTTGTAAATGTTTCAATTGAAGACTGCTTCAAAATACATCTGTGTTATTATTTTTACTACATTTCAGCAAGTTTTATGAACAAAACTTAAAACAAACCAAAGAAAAATAAACACTGGGAGAAGGTAGAACAGCTCAATTCTTTCACAGAATATCTGTCTTATATTATGTTAGTAGTAATAGTAATAATAATAATAATTTGAACAAATATGTAAAATAATATTTTTTAAAAAAATAAGTTATTTATGCAGGATTTTTTAATGACCTTATTTTGTGTAAAACCAAAAAGGAAGTAGAAAAATCTACAAAAGTTTACATAAAATTAACTTTAGAGTGTTATTTTCCAACAGGCAACTGGAAAGTTTTTTTTGTTTTGTTTTGTTTTTTTCCCCACAGTATGAACAAGCATCTGTTTTAAACAAGCATGAGTCCCCCCCCCCCTTGCAGCCTTGGCCCGTTTCTGTGTTTCTGGTAATTTTATATCATATATTCTTTGGTCAGTCAACCGGGTCATGTGACACGGCCTTTAAAATGTCACTCAACTTTGAATCTATCCCTCCTTAGCAAAGCTTGCATAGTCCCTTATCGATATCCTTTGGCCTTTTCCTGTTTCTCTTCCTCATAGGCAAAACACGTCAAAAACAACTTTTCTGCTTTTGTCTTTTTGATTAAACAGGGTCAAAAAGTCCCTTATCCAGATGTACTTACAGGAATTTTTTTAAACTTCCAGTAGTTCACAGTTTTGATTGTCAGGTGTCATTGTTCAGGAAAGGACAAGCATAACATATAATATAAACATAACAGGATTATTCTTTCAATATTCTTTACACAAAGCTCGAGCTCAGTATGCAGGCAATTGCTTGCACTGAATTTTGAAGGCATCAGAGTAAAAAAGAAGTGCAGAACACAGTCTTCTGATGTTTAGCTGCAGGAAGTATTGGAAACTGTGCAACCTTTTCTTTGTACTTCATAATTATGTGCCGATTGTGTTGGTCTACTACATCCAATCCTGAAAAAAATACAAGGTGACATACCTGAACAAAATTCTCTTGAGAAGCTGCTGGTCTCCCTCCGTGTATCCTGGCCAGTCCTTCTGGACTTCCTTGTACATAAAATCCTTCAATGTGAAGGTATTTTCTTTCCCATTCAAATTGGCAACCTAAGAACAGAAACATAGCACTGCGTTAATACACTAATCTTCGCCAACTAATCTGGGGGAATGACACTGAAGATGAAAGTGAGTGGAGAAAATGAAAACCCCAATGTCGTAGATGTTTCCATGACTCGCCTGTTGCAGGTGGCTGTCCAGGGATTCTTTGTCGAGCTGTGACAGGCCGTCCTTCTGCAACCTCAAAATCAGTTCAGGCTTTTTGTAAGGCTTCAGGGCCAGCAGGTGTACGAGGCGCTCACGGAGAGGCCGGTGCTGAGTCGTGGCTTTCTTCTGCGTGCTGCTGGAGATGAGGACGGGCCGAGACGTCCTCCGTGACGGGGCCACGTCTGAAAGCCCAGGTGCCGGTTTCCGGATCTGGACTTTCTTACCTTTGAAAGTCAGCCACACATGAAAAGAATTTTTCTATATACAAACACAATTAAAAATATATATAAAAGTTTTTTTAATTATGCACAGAGACATTTATGGTTTTCCCTTTTGGGTCGCTGAACTCGTCGAATGTTTTATTAAAAAAGTGCTGCGCAGCAGAAATGCACCGAGAAAGTAGCCGGTGAATGGAACAACCTCAAAAATCATTTGCTATTTGACCCAAACAGCCCATCAAATCCAGGGTGAACCAGTTCACAAGAAGAGCAAAACTACATCATCACTTGGATGTTTGCAGATTCTTCCAGTCCGACTCAGTAATTTAACTCCTGACATGTTTACAATGTCTAAGTGGAGGGTCTGATTGCTCTCCTCAGAAACTAAACACAAACTTATAAGCTAGCAGTCTGGGAAGCTCAAGGCTAAAAGCACATTATGCACTGAGCAACAGTATGTTCGAGTCAATATCCAGCCTTCCTCACCTACGTATCTCCCCCCCGGCTTGATGACGATGGCACTCCTGCTGCGAGTCGTCTCCTCAGCCTGGGCCATGCTCTCTCTGGCCTTCTGGTAGGAGTCGTCGGTGGCTCGCACTGTGATCTTGTCCTGGATGCTGCCCAGACAGTCCAGCTGAATGCCCCCTTCACTACCAAAACAAAGAGCAGACGCGAAGAAAAACACAGGCAGAAAGAGGAGAAAAGTTGAAACACAAGTATGAAAGAAAAAAAAACAAAACATTGATTTGATAGCCAATTGAAAGGAAGCCAAGCCATTCTCACATACGCTTTTGCATTACATGCAGAAGCCATTTTTGTTATTTTTCAACTTTTCATTCCTACCCAGAGATTGAATAAATCTTCTGTGGGAACAACGATTATTTTTCCAATTTCCTCCAACCAGCCATGGTTTCCCACTGTGCAGCTCATTGCCACATAAAATCTGATTCTTTCCTGACTTTCCGACTGTTTTTTTTGATTCTCCTCCACTTTGGTGGAAAATGAGACGCTGCCGGCACGGTCTGCAAAAGCTGAGCTCGGTCATTTGGGTTTCAGGCTGCAATTCAAGCCTGATTAGGATCTAGGGAGAGACTTAAATGAACTCTGCCTGACCCACATGTTAAAAATACTTTCAGAATAATTGGGGTCAGAAATCTGAAAAAGACAAGATTCTCATTGTTCCCCTTTCACTTTCTGTGCCCGTCATTTTAGGCACTAAAATCCACGTGTGTTTATTCGATTAATCACGTGTTCCTTTTTAGACTCATTAGTTCTCGTGTAGCTTCTCTGCTACCAAATGAAAGTGTGCAAGTGGCTACACATGTAACCCCTGGATGTATAAATTCATTTCTTACTGTAGTTCGCAAGTGCATCTAACAGAGGTGTGTTCATTCAGCTCAAAACTTGTGTGAAGTCAGTTCTCACTGAAAGAGGGGAAAAAAAGGGATGTGAATCTGCTTTAGCTTTCACCTGGTGATGTACTGCTGGATGCAGTCGAAGCTGCCCTGGGGGTTGTCTCTGCCCACATTCGACAGGTCGAAAGTAAATGTTTGCAGCTCGCTGGAAGTTTCTGACCGTGGAATTGAAATCTTCTGTGAAAGACAGGACAGGAAAAAAACAAAACAAAAAACAAACAAAAACATGGACGCGTTAAAAAGCCCCCAAACAAAACGTGTTTCTTGATTTAGAGTCCAATTATCAAAGAAATATATATATATATTTTTTTAAATCAGTAAAGAAGTTATCCAAGATGTACTTATGACTATAATCTTTGTAAAAAAATAAATTATGTTTTGCAATAGCAGGAAAAAAAATCCATCTAATGCCACATTATATCATACAGACAGGGTCGGACCCCCCCACCCCCAAAGGTCTTTGCATTCAGGTGTTTAGAGATACTCTCTATATTGGGCTGCAGTTGTGCAGTTGCCACCAAATGCAGCTTGTAATAATTAGTACTGTGTGCTTTTCAGCGTTTGTTGTTGCTACGTTTATCGCTGCTTTTTTTTTTTTTTCTGTTTCTGCAGGTGGAGAAGCAGCCTTCTAGGGTGTTATCTTGCAATCTCTATTCTGCTCACCTCTATTCTTATCTCTTCGCTTTCAGCTTTTAGCCCCACCTGTCTCATTTTTTTTTTTTTTCATTTTCCCCCTTTTTTATCATTCTCCATGTAAAATGAATTTGAATAT